CCTCCCACGACTGCCTGTCTTGTTCCGGCCTACCAGAAGAGCCCTGGAGTTGGGCAGAAAGTCTCATCAGCACTTGACAAAGCATATATATATTTTCTGGTTGAAATATTATTATACACTGTACTTTCACTAAGAAGTTCTTGTTAATAATTACAGCAGTGACAGCTATTTTTATGTAATTTTTTTCAAATTCTTAAATGTAAAAAGATCAAATTCTATAAGTCAGAATTATTTTTATTTCAGCAATTAGCTGAAATATTGGTTAAACTTTCATTCAGACCTCTGGTTCCAATTTAAGGATACAATAACACAGTTTTGTGCCATAATAACATTGTAGGTTTGTTTAATTTGCTTCATAGTATTGTAGTTCTACTAGAACATGCAATGTACAGTACTTTTATAGCATCCTAGGAGATTGCAAGTATTTTGAATATTCCCAAGTTGAATTCTCAAAATGTATGAGGAAGAACTTTGGTTTACTTAATATTAGTGAAAAAGATAGTTATATACACAAGTCCCCTTTTTTTTCACTCATGAGCACAAAAATCATGCAAATGTTTTTTGGTAAGAAAACAGATTTTTCTTCAGCATACCTTGGAAGATTTGTATAATTTTTATTTTTTCTCGGTTATTATAAAAACAAAATATCACAATTTTGGATAGAAAGCATCATAGTAATATTGTTAAGTATTGTGACATTATCTCTTAATTACTATGTTACAGGCTTTCAGAAAGAAGGCATTGATATAATTTTAAATACACCAAATATAGGGAAAGTTGTGTGCCATTAAAAACATTCATGCAATAGGAGAGACCACTAGCCAGGCAAGGCATGATGCTAGTTTATACTTTTAGTGTTTGAACGATGACTTATGCTTCATCACTTCATCAGTAGCCTCCAGTAGCCAATAGTATTAAGTATTGTGACATTATCTCTTAATTACTATGTTACAGGCTTTCAGAAAGAAGGCATTGATATAATTTTAAATACACCAAATATAGGGAAAGTTGTGTGGCATTAAAAACATTCATGCAATAGGAGAGACCACTAGCCAGGCAAGGCATGATGTTAGTTTATACTTTTAGTGTTTGAACGATGACTTATGCTTCATCACTTCATCAGTAGCCTCCAATAGCGTGCAAGTGAAATGCACTTGGTCAAAATTGGCATTGAGTTAGCAGAACCAAAAATAGGCTTTTAAAAAACATTCATAGTTTATTATAATCTTTTGTCATGTCTGCTAGCCTAAAAGGTTTCTTTGTTACTGTAATATTCATTCTCAAAATGTACCAAACAAGAATAATAAATTTAAGTTTTTATCTGTCATACTAGTGATCTCTTCACAGGCTTATGGAAGTGATCCCATAGACATGTTTGAGTGTTCTCTGTGAGAGTAATTTCTCCGACAAGATTCAGAACAGTGTTGCTGATTTACTTCAATGTTTTGAACCTAAAACCTTCAGGATACCTCAGTAGATATACCTTAATATAATACATACCAAGCATCCATGTATATATTTTGGACAATAAATTAAGGCAATAATCTTGTGATAAGTTATCAACAATACCATCTTGTGTTTCATTTTTCATATATATTTTCTCAGTTGCTCATTATTTAAATATGTTTTTTATGTCAGTATAATTCATAGAGTAAGTAACTTAAGTTTTGAGTATTTGGCACTGCAGAAAGAAAACAATTATTAAAGCTTATGGAAATCAGTTAATGATTTGTTTTGTTCATTGATATTAAATTAAGATCACAAGTATCAAGCAAAATAATAAATTTCAGTTTATGGATTAATCAATGCATAATTGAAAAAATGAACACTAAATAGTTTAAATAAATTTAAATCTTACTTAAACTTCATAAAATAAAATCAAGCTTTATGTTTAACAATTTTTATGGTACAAATGTATATTGATGAAAGTAATTCTGTTCATATAGTAAAGTTAAACACACATTACAAGCAAATAAGTTATATTTAAACTGAACAACATAAGTATGTTACAAATCAAATATCAAGTCCATATATATGATATTGCTGTAAAGGTGAATATGACATACAGCTTATACTAGATAAAAATCTGAGTCATAACAACCTGAGAGTTACAGTGTGGAGAATTATCAATTTTGGCTAAATCAGTGATCAAGAATATCATTTACTGGGACATTTTTTCTGCTATTAATTGTGGAGGTTGCCTTCGTGTAACTTTTTGGTATATGTCCACCTTTATACATGTTTGAAGTTATGTTACTTTCTCTGTATATCTAACACTGTTTATTTCTGTTAAGTAGCTGATTTACATTAAACAGGTGCATGTCTCCATAAAAGTGTAAGTTACACCATGAATGGAAACTGTATTTTTCCTGGTTATTCAATTTATCTTTCTTCGTGTTTTTTCGTTACCTGTCAACTTGCCATTCTCTGATAGAGACGATGCAGAAGCAGGGTTGGTACTATTGACCAAAATGCATGACTGTGTCTCCATTGTGTGTGTGTGTGGCATGTACTTGTACAGATTTATATAAACATTACTTTCTGACTTTTTCATAAGTATTAAAATGTAACTAGAGTAGGGTTTTAATTGTTATTTAATAGCTCTTATTTTGCTGGATAGCTAGCAAGTTTTTAGCAGACAGATAGTTGAAATTATGATACTATTTACAACAAAAAAACATTATCACTTAAAACCTTACCATAGGCTCTAGGAAGTTGTAAATAAAAACAAACGGCAGTTAAAATTTATATTTTATGGGGTTTATAAAAGGTTTTGAATTTCAAGAACTTGATAATTCATACAAGAGGTAAAAAAAACAACCGTTTGGGTTCTAACGGTGGTTTGAAAGGAAATCAAAACTTAGCACTAAAGAACGTGAGTAAAGAATGTTAGAGATAAAGACAAACTTGAGATTATAACTATTCTGTGTTTGAAGGGTGCATGAAGTTTGAAAATAAGAATATGTAACATATTTGTAGAAAAACAACTTTGAATCATATATGTTTACTTGCTACATTGAAGGGACACCTGTCACAAGTGTTGGAGTTTGTGTGATGGCATTCATTGGTTGATGCTCTGACACTTTAGTTATTAATTAATCAATTTATTAATAAAATGTAAATTTTCTTGAGTAACTATTCTATAGACTAACTTGTTAATTTATTTACTTTGTATCTGGCCACCCAGTGGGCCTGTGGTAACTTCCAATACTGAAATCTGGAGTTTGATTCCCTGCAGTGAACAGAGTGCAGGTAGCTCATTGTATAGCTTTGAGCTAAACCAACATTGTACCTGCCATATTTTTTATTGCTAGTAATTCGGTTTGTAGTAACTCATAACTTTTACATAGGATAGTAGATTTGTTTGTTACAATTAGAAATATCCAAAGGTATTTTATGTTTGACCAATCAGAAAGTAATGACATTTGGTGTATGGGTTTGCAGCTGAAAATATTGTTAACAGTGAGGATACCCAACTGATGAAAAAATGCATTCTAATCTTTATAAGTAAGAACATTAGAAAAAATATAATTAGTTATCTACACTCATTACTAGGTTAATTTTTAGTTTTTGTTAAATAAGTAGTTTGCTCTGATTTAGTTAGAAGATAATATCCATATGGTATATATATATATAATGGCTGTGCTGATAAAGTATGTTTCTTAGATTGGTAGTTTGTGTAATGTTACATCACAATAAGACTGATAATAATCTTTAACAAATCTTTCTTTGGCAGCCCTATATGGAAATGTGAAATGCTATTATATTCTTCTTACTGGAAGCACATACAGGGCCAGTAATTAAATCTTTGTTAAAAATTATCAGTCTTATTGTGATGTACTATTACACAAATTACTGATATGTTGGTAATGACATAAATTAGGAACTTCAAAGTACGATTTGGCTCAAGATAAGTTGTATTGTGAAATTTTATTACTACCAATTAAATTAGCCAAAAATTTACTTTTTTCTTTCTCTTTAGCAGAAGATACTGAAGGGGAAAGAGGTGACAGTCATGAATAAGTATGTTCAAACTATAAATTATGTCAGCACTACACTGAATTTGTCAATACAGTTCAATGTGCTCTTACAAACCCAACACACTTTTTCTGGTTTCTTCAGCATCTGATAAGATCTGTATTTAGTTTTGGTATTACATAAAAGAAAACATAAACATTAGAAATTTAAACAGACTTCCAAAATACTTTAAAATAACCAAAAACATTTCTTAAGTTCAGATTGTGTCCTGTTTCTGTTAAGTTACATATTTTTGTGGATAACATTTAAAATGTGTTGCTATATTATTCATTTTACTATAAAAAATAAAGTCACGTTAAATAAAAATGAGCATTGGACATGTTGCTCTCTCATTGTATTCGTTGCTTTAGTTGCTTATATGATTTTATGATTTGCTTCTGGTAATGTTGTTTTAAATAATTTCTTATGGACTTAATGAGGATATACCTAAATGATGTTAGTTAAGTATGTGGTAAACAACATACCAATGAACAAGTTAGATTGGTTACAAATATTGACTTGAAATTTTACTTTGAATATGCAACAGAATAAATAAAATGATAAACCAACAGAGTGAAACTTACGAGAACTATTTTTGCCTATTTTCCAAAACAGAAGTCTAATTTTGAAGTCTCTGTTTTTGGGTTGTAAACCATTTCTGTGACTTTAGTTTTTACTTACAAGTAAAAAATAATAATTGCATTTTAACAACTGGTTTAATGAGTTATATAAAAACATGTTTCAGTTATATATTTTATTAGTAAGGTATAAATGAGTCAAATAACTAAATTATGATGGATAATTTCACATGTATTGAAATTTATGAGAAATGCTGTATTAAAAAAATGTTAGAAACTAACTGTTACAAATGTTTTACAGGTTCACAAAGACTGTTGGCTGGTAGTGTTATATTGTACAAGTTTGAAGCTTTCATTTTTCATGATTTTACCAAACACTGTCCACTTTATGTGTGGTCATCTCTGTTCACATGAAGGTCAGTTGTGTATGATCTTAAATGTGTATTAATGATGTAACAATAGAACAATTCTTAGTAAATCTTTCAAAAACTTTTGTGTGTCTTTTCTCTGCTTGTGTAAAATACTAACTGTATTCAAACTTTGAAAGGATAGTTGATCATTAGAATTTTCTCATAGATACGAAAAGTAGAATATTATTCATAAAAAAAAATACAGAATTACTTTGGATCAAAATTCTACAGCAGTTAAACAACTAATTTTTTGGTAGCATTAGTCTCAACTGAATTGGCTATTGTTAAACATACTTATCTTGCACTGGCAATTTCAGAGTATAGTACATAGCCAGCAACATTATCAAGTGTTGCAGTTGGATGGTCTTGAAGTTAAATTATTACATTAATTTTTCATATGCTCTCAGCTTTAAGTAACAGACACAATGGTCACATTATAAGTGCAAGTAATATGCATTTAAAAAGTTTATTTTTTACTAATGTTGCTTATGGGTTTATGAAAAACTTGCCACCATCTAATACCCTGCGGTATGAAACCGGTCATGTTTTGTTATTGAATAAGCCAGAATAATAAGTTGTCAGCATGTAGCGGAAGGTTTTCCCAAATCGCTATAATTTATTTAAAAACCAGTAGCTGCTTATAGATTAGCTAGTGAGCTACACTGAGTGGTCACAAGTAAATAGACACCTAATTTTTCGTCATTTAACTGATTTATGCTAACTAATTTGTGT